TAAACACATCCCATCCGTCAGAATCATGCCAGAAAAACTTGTTATTCAAACCCTAACCCTACCCTGGTGCACACCCCTAACCCTAATATAGGGCTACAGTTCTACTGAAAATAATGCCATTTTGAAAAAGCCTTCCTCAAGCCGCTTTTTCTGCACAGCTCCTCATCACCTTTGCCCATTGTAAACACATTCCATCCATCAGAATAATGCCAGGACACGTCATTTTTCCAAGCCTAACCCTACCCTGGTGCACACCTCTAACCCTAGTATAGGGGTAAAATACCATTGAAATGGGTGATTTTGAAAAACCCTTCCTTGAGTAGCTCCTTCTGCACAGCTCAACATTTTTCCTCATTGTAAACACATTCCAACTGTCAAAATCATGCCAGGATACCTTGTTTTTCTAACTCTAACCCTACCCTGGTGCACATCCCTAACCCTAATACAGGGGTAAAGTTCCATTGGAAAGAGGGCTATTTTGAAAAAGCCTTCCTCGAGCCGCTTTTCCAGCTTAGGAAATCTATATATCTCCTTGGAAGCATACTGACCAGTCATGCAAACACTTGGCCAAGTTGAGGTTAATGAATTGCGGCTTGCAACATCATCGCTTGACACCACTGCTCCTTTCTGAGCATGCGCATGGCCCCTGTGTGCGCTGTTATCCGACCCTCGGCTGCTGGGGCGATGCTGGGGTGACTTGGCTCGCGTGCCGGCAGAGAGGGCTCTGCATTCCCGCTGTGGCACGTGCACCATAGGTTTGCCAGCATTGCCTTAGTGTAAATGCGCAGTTGTGCAGGAGTGCAAATGCGCATTAGCTAATGCACTTTAGGCTCATGCACATTATCCCATATCTGCCCCTGTGCCAACAGTGGAAAAAAGCAACAGGCTGAAAGTCTGTGCCAAGGTTGCAACTTGGCAAAAGTTGATCTGCTGAGGTCTCTACAGGGCAGCAACACAAAATCCAAACTCAAGTGCATCCTCTGATGATTTCTGCCCACTTCCCAATGAAAAGGGCTTTAAACCACAAGCCAACTTTTCTATCCTGCAGAGCAATCATATGCAGAAGGAAGTCCCATTGACTTCCAAACAGGGCAAGCTTTTTGTACGAATGTACAGGGCATTGCAGTCTTTCTCACAACTTTTACTCAAGAAAGAAACAACATCAGGAACCAGCAACACAACAAAAGGTGCATCTGTTTGCCTCTGAAATGGTGCGGCCAGGATGGAAGGCTCCAGGGCTGAATGAACGGACGGAAACATCAGAAGTGAGATATAGAATGAATGAGGAGTGCGAAAATCCAGAGCGTTTAGAAAAAAGGTATTTATTGGGTAGAACTTTTCAGAAAGGACTATTAGGATAATGGAGTTCATATTTGAAGTCACTGTCTGAAATTGTACTCCAAGGTGAAATTTCTTGTTCAGTAACCTATTTATGAGTCCAATTCAGGGAATATGAAAAAAGCACTCAGCAGAGAGTGACTTGGGGTAAATCTGCCAGTAAAAGCCAACAGAAGCAAACTTGCCAGGAGTGATTTTGTTTTATTCTGCATGTGTTTTTGCTGGGTACCCATTTCTCTTCTCTCGGTGTGCCTGCTGCTCACAGATAATATACCATTTTTACATTGCATTTTAAAAATTCTCCCTCCTTTTTGCAAAGGAGGCACATTCCTTTGAGATGTATTGGAGCCCATTATCAGAGATCATCCTTCAGGGATTCTCTACTGGACAAAAATAGCTTTTAGTTGATGGATTACTGTAGCATCTTTGAAGCCCAGCTTTGCAAGCAGGAATCTGCTGCAGTAATCCCCAACGAGGAGATGGTCCTCCCCGGGCCACGTGTACCAGACGGTGTCAAAGACCTGCTCCGTAGCTGGTGGCACTAAATGGCTGGGAAGCGGGGACAAAAGTTGCAGCCAGCTGCCTTTCCCTGCCGTCTCAAGTGATTCTGCAAATTCGGGGGGAATGGCATGGGATGGAAGAGGCACGCAATGGGAGCTCCTGATGACTTTGGAGGGTGGGACCGGCTGACTCCAGCCCGGGCTGTTTCCCTGCTTCCCAAAGCTATTAGCCACAAATGGGGAACATTTTCAGGTGGGGGAATGATCCTGTGGTTCCCAGACCGCACGAGGGAACATAGAATCCTTTTAATTCCCAATGGGGTCTCTGGCCTTGGAGCTGGGATCTGGAGCACTGAAGCCCATTCCCCAGGCCCCTTGCGAACAGTCTGGAAATTCTGGGAAGGGGATGTGTGGGGAGGGCAAGAGGACCAGGGCAGCTTGGGCAGGGAAGGTTTTGAGGGAGGCCAGGACATCATGGCTCCCTTCCGACTCCCTCTGAGGTGCTCCTCCAGGTGAGCGAAAAAGGCCATGCAATGGGAAACGGAGGATGGAAGCAAAGATGGCCTCTGCCACTCCTCTGCACGGGAACAGCCTGAAGCTCTGGGTTTGGGGAATTCGGGCATCCCGAGCGGATGATTCCCTTATGGGTTTAAGCTGGGAGGTTTGGCCCTCCACAGCTCTTAGCAGCTTTGGGGGCTATTTCAGTCAGGGATCCATGCTGGCCCTCAGGGTGCTGCTTACTTCCCAGCAGACTAGTTTGTTGCTGAAAAGCTTTGCAAAGTCAGTATGGAAGTTGTGTGCAAAAAATTGGTCCCTGCTTACCAGGGATGTTGAATTTTAGGTCCACTGGTCACATCTGGCCCTGGAGCAGCCCGACTCTCTTCCTCTGTTCCCACTCCCTTTCCCTCAGCTTCCAATTCCTGCCCCACCCCGATTCTAAAAAGCTAAAATGGCCCTCCAAAGGCATTGCTACTGGTTGTAAGGGCTTGACACTGAAAATGCTGGTCTTGGGGGCCCTGAGTGGCTCCCTCCCTAAAGCATCTCTGTAACTAAATTCAGCTCTCAGGCCCGCCCCCCACCCCAGGGGAGCTGCAGGGCTCGAGGGGGTGCATTACCAGCACTTGCCGGGTGGGCGTGGGATTCCGTGGCTGGGAATCCTGGTTATGTAATCACGCAGTATCAACGAGCAGCCGATTCCTTTTCCTAACAGGGCGGCTGCAGAGCGTGACCCTCTTTCCAGCGGAGCCCTCCAGCACACATGGCCAGCACAGGGAGCTGCTCCTCTGACAGGGCGCCATTTCTGCTCAGAGCTCTGCACGTCTTCAGAAACACTCTGTGGGCCTTGGCTGAAGTCACAGAGATGCCTCGGGGGGAGGCGTGGCCGCCCTCAGGGTGGCAAGAGGGACAACTAGCCCATGGCTCCTCCCCATGGCCTCCTCATGAGCCACTCCCATTCCCTTGTCACGGCGCTGAGCCCTGCGTGGCGCTCTGCCTGACGCACACATGGCCCTTGCCTGCTGGCACGGAGGCAGCCTCCACGCTGTCCTGGCCCACCTCCCAACTTGACCACCGCAGGGTCATTTCCTCCAGCAAGAGCAAGAAAAGCATCGGGTCCCCACCGAGTTGTCACAAACCAGGGAATAGGCCCAGCGTCCCTGTCCCTGCACCTGGACCGTGCATGCCGAAGGAACATCAAGCAAGGGGGTGACTCCAAGCTCGAAGGGGACCACAGTGGATTGGCCTCTGGGCCCCCGTTTACATCAGAGGGCCCAAGCAATGCTTGGAACTCCCGTGGACTTACCTGGAGATGGCTGTGGTGACTAGTGGCTGCACTCCATTGATGCCACGTGACTAGGGGCATCCCACCCAGGCAGGGGGGAAATGAGGAGGGTGACCCCCAGGCTCAGTTCTCTTGCACTGATCAGGGTGTGGGCACAGGCTTGGGGGTTCTTTAAAGGGGAGCGCAGGGTCATCCTCAGCAGTGGGCCTGCTAGAAAGCTGGGATCCTGGCCAGGACCCAAGAATACATGCCTTGGCACCAAGCCTAATCCAGTAGGAAAGAACCAGCAAGAAATACTGCGGGAGAGACACCTCACAGCAACACAGGACGCATCTTTGCCAGGTGCGTGGAGCGAGCGTGAGCCAACTTTGGGACAGGAAGCAGGAAGGAGGAATAGTTTTGGTTTGGTGGCTTCGATGCTTTTATCGCCGCCGCAGCACAGGGACCACTTCGTAAAAATACTGTGGAGAGGAGATGAAAGGAGCAAACCAAGCCGTGTGACAGCCAGGAGCTCTTTCAAAGGGAAGGAGAATGCGCATGGATCGCCTCTTTTCTACAATTCTTTGTGTCCATTAGGACTTCCAAGAGGTGCCCGCACCGCCAAGCTTTCCAACCCAGTCTGCAATATATCCCTTGAGATACTAAATTTGACCTTGAATTCTGGGCGAGGGCGGGCATGAAAAACAGGATTATTAAAGCTCGCGTTTCTGCAAAAGCATGAACATTGAGGAAACAGTGATCCAAAACCCAGGCAAGTAAATGCCTTAACACTTCTGCAAGGGACAGCTGCCCTTTATGCACACCCACACACATAAAACAGCCATGCATATCCCCCGAAGGGTCACCTGCTTCACCACCCCACGAAAGCAGAAGATCTCGTGCCCCTTCATCTTCACCAGGGACTCTTCCAGTCGTCACCCTTTGCAGTCTCCCCTGCCCTCATTCCCCCTGCTAAGGAGATGTCTTTGCCAGCTGCAGCTCCCACACACATTCATGGTTAGGACAAAGCATAGGACCGACCCAGATTCTCTTCTTCAGGTTTCTCCTTGCAGGAGAACAGAGAACCGTCTTAAAGGCTCTCTGGGTGGGGTAAAGGGGGCATTCAAATGTGGGCCCTTTACTCAGACTTATACATTTCATTCTACACTGAAAAGGATGGCGACGGCTGTCGATTTCATTTTACAGTGAAAAGGATGGCGACGGCTGTCGATTTCATTTTACAGTGAAAAGGATGGCGACGGCCAGGAGTCGCTTGCTGGCTGCCCCAGAGAGCGGCTGCACCCAACTTAGCTTGAATGTGGCTCGTGAACACAGGCGACATAGTTCATAACGAAATCCACTTCACCATTATAACCCAGCCTAAAGTGAAACGCAATACTTACATCTACGATGAGGAAATCCAGCCAGCACCAGGCATTGGTGAAGTACTTCTTAAAGCCATAGGCTACCCATTTCAGAAGCATCTCCAAGACAAAGATGTATGTGAAGATTTTGTCAGCATATTCCAGCATGGTTTTAATGTTCTTTCTTTCTTCAAGGTAGATGTCTTCAAATGCCTTGAAGTACAAAGTGATATATTAATGGAGCCATGTGCCTGAGATGTTTTCTTGGGGCATGTTTGTAAAAGGCTCTATGAATAAATGACCATGTGAGATCAAATATTTATCATTATTGCCCCTTTGAAACATGCCACAAAACAAGAGAGAGAACGTTCTCAGGTGCCTGTAGAAGATATTTATTATAATCATATTTCTGTTTATTTTCTTTAGGCACCTGAGAACTTTCTCTCATGATGCACGAATACCTTCCCCTCTTTTTGTGCTTCTCCTATCGGAATGTGTCTGACTATACTCTGTGATCTAGGCTGGTTCCAGGGCTCTGATATAGATCAGATCTTAAGCAGAAGTAAAGTTTCTCAGGAAGATAAAACAAGATCTGCACCATGGAAAGTTCCAAGTGGCTCTGGGGCTGGAAACCAGACAGGATTTTCTGTATGGCTTTCCAGCAACGCCAAGAGCAACGGCGAGCTGCTTGGACCTTCCTCTGCATTGACTGAGGCCTGGTCTTTTAAAGGAACTTAGCCTGCTTGTGCAATTTCAGCCTGGGCACACCTCTGTTTCCATGGCCCAGGTCCTTACAGTTGGAGGATGATAAAGAGATCTCCTCTCGAGGCGAGGGAACCAACCCCTGGGGTGAACAAGGTCCTGGGGAGGTGGAAGTCTCATGAGTCTTTCTGGGGCTGAGTCTTCTCCCTGAACCATTAACTTGGGACCTTCTTGGAGGACAGGAGGTAGGGACGCCCTGCAGCCAAGGCTCCAGGAAGCTAACCCATTACAAAATGCCATTTTTTCCGTGATTGTAAAAATGAGAATGATATCATCTTGGGTCTTTTGATGTGCGCTGAAAATTTGTACATTTTTTATTATTATTTGTACCAAGAGAAGAGAAGAGAAGAGAAGAGAAGAGAAGAGAAGAGAAGAGAAGAGAAGAGGTACAGTGCAGGCATTGGCTTGCCCACCCATTGCAGTGGAATACTCTGATTAAGAGGCTTTGCAACTTATCCACAAATCACATAAGGTCACATAAAAATGTGAGAATGGTCCTTGCTGGACCAGATGAGGGTCTAGCTAGCATTTGCTTACATCAACCACCAACTGGGCATTCTGGGAGGAAGGAAATGAAGTGGATGGCCCAAACGTTGTCCCGTCACCTGGAATTCAGAGGTACGTGGCTCTGCACATTGCATTTGTGTTTAGATATCTGGTTAATAGGGCTTGAGTGGTCTTTCCTCTGTGAATATAGCTAATCCTTCTTATATTATTTAAGCCATTGGCTATCAGCATCATGTGCTAATTCCACATTTTGTGAAGAAGCAAATCCAAGCAGTCAGCATGCCTCAAATGCATGTATTGGCTGCATCCAAGCCCCCCACCCGCTCCCATCATGCTCTTCTGACATTTTGGCCGGCAGCTCATGATCCCTCACCTTTGGCTATGGTGGGTAGAGCTGATGGGTGTTGTAGGCCCAAAGGGCCACAAGTTGCCCACCCTGGTTTAGGGGATCAAATCTGAAGACTGTGGCCAGCAGAGACAGTCCGCATCAGGGATGGGGAACAGATGGCCCTGTTAGCAGGGGCTGATGGGCATTGCAGCCCAATAATATCGGGAAGACCACAGGCTCTGTCAGCCCTGGTCACCATCCTCCCAGGGTGACCATTAAGAGATGCTTCTTGGAAAAAGGCCCCTGCGTTCCCCCAGGATCTCCCCATCCAACCAGTGCCACAAAACTGGGCACTCTTGAACCGCAGCTGCACAATCACAGCTCTGGCAAAAACTTGCTTGCCAGCTGGAGGGTGCTGGCAAGCTATGGGAAAGAGAGCAGGCAGGCTTAGAGGAGGGGTGCGTGGGAGCATTCCCTGGGAGCAGCTTGGCCGTGGGCTTCAAGTCCCCTCATGCAAATGGTTCTCTTCCAGAAGGAGACTTTGAACCTACTTCCGCAGGTGTAAAGGGCAACCAGGCAGTTTGCTCCAGCAGTTTGCTGCCCAAGCAGCCTCAGACTGGACACCAGTCTCCTGGTTTTTCAGTCTACTGACCCCCAAAATTTGGGATTTCTGACTCTACTCATCTTCCAGTGGCAATTCTGGGCAGAGATTGTTCCTGCCCTGCTGCAATCTGATCCTTTCAATCGGAGATGCCGAGAATTCTTCCCGAACTTGGATGGCATCCAAACTAGGGAGGAATTTAGGACTCTAATCAATGTCCACCTCCTGTTTGAGCCCTTGAACTAATCTTGCACATGGGAGACTTTACTGGCATCTCCCCTTTTGCCACATGACCTGAGCACACATACTCCAAAATGCAATGGGGTCGGGGAAGATACCATAAACGGTAACTTTACCAATGCTCCACTGCTGAGGAGGATCATGAAGATGATGAACGTTTCAAACCAGCTGTGTTCAACAATCTGGTAGCAGGTTTTCCTCAGCCGCCACCAAACCTGCCCAGGAAATTTGGTGGTGTCTACTGAACAGCATGAGAAGAATCGCACACAAGCTGAAAAAGACAAAGGAAGACCAGAGAGAGCCGTGGGATGCTTGGAGCTCCAGGAGCATTTCTGAGTTTTTGATCGCTTTAAGTCCTGTCCTTCCTCTTGGCCACCCTGTTTCCAAACACCTCTCAGCAATATGAACTACTTGAAAAAATAAATCGACATTGACGCTTGGAAGGAGCATTTCCCCCGATGGCTTTGTCTCAGACGGATAAGCCACTCGGTGCTGCTGCATGTAATAAGAACGCCTCTATTTCCTGAGCAATCCAAGTGCCTTAGATGGAGGCAGACCGTTGGTCCGTCCAATGTACCGTTGGCTACACAGAATGGCAGCTACTCCTCTGCATTGCAAACTTTCCATGCTGGTGTGCCTGAAACCCTCAAGATTGCCCCATTTCATTCTCAGAGCTTGCTTGGTCTCATTCTTTGTCCCAAATGTGAGCATCTTTTGCTGGATGGAAGCAGCACACTTAAACGAGCATGCATCCAAACCGCACACCTTTCTCCATTAACCCCATTGCTGGAAACCACCCAGGAAGCGTCCGCTATTGGGCAGTACAGACATGAAATAGCAATAACAAGGCATGAAGAATTATTCGTTTGTAAAATGTTTAAATGAAAGCATTTGGTGAATATGTTCGCCAGCACAGGAATTACAAGCAAATGTGTTCAGGTTTACAAGTGGGAGATCTTGGACTGTTTTCGTTTCGTTTTGTTTTTTTCACAGAATTGAAATCTCTATTGCTTCCTAGTCTGAAGATGCTGGTGACCAACCTGCCACCTTCTACATGACACACAAGTATTTTGCCGCTAAGCTACTAGGGATGTGTGAGGAATCTCTTTTGTGGATTCCCTGGTGCTGAATTCCCTGGTTTTGACTTCCCAGGCGCTGATCTGCTTTGCAGATAGTGCTATCAGCACCCCGTCTACGTGAGGTGCTATTCCTTCCAAGTGCTTTTTGAGCAGCGTTCGCTGCCCTTTCAAATATCGCACATTTTCTCTCATAGGGTTCCTCTTCAAAGGAATCTCATTCTTTCATCCGTCTTGCATAGTTCTTCCATGAACTGCTTCCACCTTCGCTTTATTTTCTCCTGTTCCAATAAAATGTTCCCCTTTTGGTGTTCCAGCATTCCTAATCTAGGTTTGAACTTCCCTTTGATTTCTCCGCCCTTCTGGAAGAGGTCTCTTGCTCTTCCTCTTGTGACGCTCTCTTCTATTTCTTTGCACTGGCCATTGTAAGAGTCCTTTTTGCCTCTGTGTGATAGTCACTGAAAAGCTGCATCTGGGATTCTGACCCTATTTCTGGCGCCTTTTGTTTCTCGCATGTCCTTAGCAATTGTGTTCCTTGGGGCCTAAATTAACTGGCTTTATTGCCCAAGTGAAATCAACATATTGAGAATCTTTCAGTGTTCCTTTGTAAGATCTAAAGCTTTCCGGAGAACTGCGTATGTGCCATGGTGGCGGTCTCAGCTGATTGAATTCCATAGAATCAAAGGGCAGGAAGGGACTTCAACAGACCTTCAACAGACCTTCAACAACTTGACTCCTCACCTGTGCAAGAGACTCTAGTACTGCATCCCAGAGAGGTGCAAAGCTGCCCATAAATTGCCTTGGTGCAAAGATAAGTGTGATCACAGCAATACTGCTGTTCTGCAGTGTTTTATCAACATGTACATGTATGCTAGTGACATGGTGGGGTGGGGAAAATGGAAATAAATTTGAGCAAACAAACTGCATATACTTCCATATAGGAATTAAGTTTAGATATTTTCCTGGTTAAACCAAAATTTGGGAATTGTAGCATGGAAGGCGGAGCGAGCCAGCAACGCAGGACAATGAAGGCATGCAGCCGTCTTCAGTTTAAGAGCAAACTAGCCCAATACTATTAAAGGTTTTGCTAACTTTAATGCTGCATCTTGGTTTGGCTTGTAAGACAGGTTGCAATTCTGTGCATATTATTTGGAAGTGACCCCCTACTCCCTGAAAAGAATGGGACTTCTGAACAGATATGCATTCAGGAAGTTCCAGAGGGTACCCTTTCCCATCTCCCGCCTGGGAAAGCTTCTTTGGGGGGCCAAGGGCCAGTCCTGACACCGTGGAATGGAGCATGTGGCAGTGCAGCGGGAGAGGGCAACCAGCCACATGGTCGAGCAGTTGTCAAAGGCCTAGAAGAAGCGGGAGCCAACTGGGAAGAGACCCTGCAGTTTCCCCTGCTCTTCACCATTGCAAGCTGCTTGTTCTCCTGCCTCTCTGGCCCTGGAAACAGCAGTGGAAAAAAGGGGAGCGGGAGCTGGCACTGCCGACTTGCTCTCTGGTGGGCAAGAAAGCAGGGGGTTCCATCGGCGAGGAGGAGGATCTGGGGACCATGGTGGTGACAAGGTTGGCTCATGGAGGGAAGGGGCCCACTGAGGGCATCTTGCTCAAGGGCTCCCAAAAACTCGGTGCTGGTATCTCAGAAGAGGCCCCTTCCTTTCTTGTTAGGCATCATATCGGAAGATGTTAACAGACAGGAAATGTACCTGATGCTGCACCTAATCACAGCGGCGAGGATTGCATTTGCTCAATATTGGAAAAGTGAGGAGCTGCCCACCGATGGAGTGATCGTAAGAAAGATCTTGGACTGCGCAGAAATGGATAGATTGACTTTATCGTTGAAGGAGAAAGAGGGTACTGACTTCTATCGAACTTGGGACCCTTTCTATAATTGGCTGGAGAAACGGGACTTGGCGTAAATTTAGAGATGTTTTTCAAACTATGATAAATTAATTTGAATTTGATATTAGAATGTTAAAAATATGTAGTAGGAGGTTGACCCAGTGAATCCAATGTTTGTGATGTTTGTTTGTTTTTTAGTGTTAGTTTAAAAATTTTAATAAAAAAAATATATATATAAAAGAAGAAGCCCCTTCCCAGTCCTCTGTAGTGCAAGCAGGTGAGGAAGGGAGGAGAGGAGAGAAAACTTCCTCATGAATGCATTCCGACTCCTTCTTACCTTAAGGAAAGCCCCACTGAATTCAGTGGCACTTAATTCTGAATAAACAGGCATCGGATTGCCCATGAGAACTCCCTTTCACGAGGTACGCTGTAAATTGGCGACATCTATTTTCAGTTTTGCACTTAATCGAAATCTGATTATTTCCTTTTTTGTGCTTCCACTACAAGACCCCTAGGAGGCACTGTGCTATAGCAGAATAACACAAGTACACAAGAGGAAATTGCACATTCTTTCGCTCTCCTAAGTAAATGCTGTATTGCTCCTCCTCTTTGTGGGTGTATTTACACATCCTGGATGAAAGTGCTGGTTAAACACGGAAGCGACACCGGAGGGTCTGGCATTGTCTAAAATCCTCGTAAACAGCCACGAATAGTGAATGGCTTGCAAATGCTAAACGCCCTGTGTAGAAAAGCCCTGATAACGTCTCTTGGGATCCAAACCATTATTTGCTTTGGTTTTATTGATGTGTAAGTGTCGTAGGAAAACGCAAGCATGATTACAGATCAAATAAAAAACACAGGCAAATTGGAATGTTTCATCTATAGCCTCCCATTTTACAAAATGCAGACAATTTTTTTGGTTCGACTAGCATCTCTAACCATGCCTGATGAGCATCCAGCAGGTGTATATGAATATGGATAGTTTTGCTATTGTGAAAAATAATAAATTGAAAGAAATTGTAGAGAAAGGCCTTAACTGGCTCAATCAACCGCTTTTCCCCTTCAGATTCTGATTGGCAATGCTGAGCAATAACCTAGTTGATGATGAGCTACATTCTTCCTAGCACAAATCTGCTTACGGCGTTTGGTGTGATTCACGGACAAGCAGGTACAACTTTGCCAATGCCCACTGGCTGCTCTGTTCTAGGAACGACGGTGATGCAATTCAGGAGGACACAAGCCACTCAGCAAAGGCTCTCCCTCCTCCCGGTTGTCCCCCCGCCCCCCAGCCCCAAAATAGGAAGTGTGGTCCTTTTTCTCAAGCACAGTCATTTTCTTTTCAGACTGAGCTTCCCCTCACCCAGCTCCTGCCTTGGAAGGCAAAATCCTAAATTGCATGACGATAAAAATCTGCAACGTGACAATGGCTTATTGTGTGTGTGTGCGTGTGTGTGTGTGCGCGGAACATAACGTGTTTTCAAAGAGCAGGCTTTTATTGCTGGGACAAATGGAAGATAATGCTGGGTTGTCACAGCTTGGGAGAGCTCAATCAGGGAGAAATGTTTGCAAATGAATTGCAGAAATGCCCTACCTTTCCGAGAAACATTCCAGGACAGCCTTCCCCAACCCGGACTACAACTCCCATAATTCCCAGCCAGTGAATTAGCAGCACAGCAGGGCAGCTCTCCTTAGCCAGGCAGCAACGGGGATAATGGGAAATGAAGATCAACACATCTGGAAGGGACCGGATGGAGAAAGCGGTTCTAAGCATGCATGCGGCCTCCAGGGCAGAAGTCCCTCCCCACACCCAGTGGGGCGCCCCTCCACCAGCAGAGAGAAACCTCCGTACCATCCTGGCCTCCTCCAGCCAGTGGATTGGGGTGTTAGAACTGTGCTCTTAGTCTGGATGATACCCTACGCACGGGGTGCATTTGTACCACTGCCAGAATGTCTGAGTAGTGAAGTGGCCCCTAAGGAAGCACCCCCACTCGTCTTCAAGGGGTGGGGGTGCTACCAATCCAACCCCAGTTGAACCCCTTTTCCTGGATCTGCTTTACTGACCAGGAACGCCTTTGTCTTGTCTGGGTTAAACTCCAGCCTGTTTGCCACATCCAGCCCATTGCTGTCTCCAGGCAACGGTTCGGGGGAAGCACGGTGAGTTCACGATACCCTGGGATGAGACTGAGAGGAGAGGCAGGGCTGCTTCCTGATGATGCTGGAGCCCAGTGGCCTGGCTGACCTCTCCTAGCAGTTCCACTGAGGTCAGTGACCCATGGGAGACTAGAGGAGCCAAGGTGTCGAACACGAGCCTCTCAGCCCCACATTCGAGGACTGGCTGCCCAGGAAGGACTGGGGACACGAAGCCCCGTTTGGGCCGGCACCTCCGGAAGGATGCCTTGGGCGATGAAAGCCCCCGAGGGGGCCCGCAGGACCACTGAGAGTGCACCTAGGCCACCCAATTCGTGGCGGTGGACTTCCACCAAGGTAACCAAGGCTGCTTCCATTGCAACACGGAGGCGAAAACCAGACAGAAACGGGCAGACATTCCATTTCACCAAGAAAAAGAAAAAAAAAACGGGGCTGGCAGAGGGGTGTGATAGCTTTTTTGCATTACTGCATGCTTTGCGCTTGACTAAGGAAAAGAAAAAAGGAAGATGCTGGAAAAAGTTGATCTTTGGGAACAAGCATGCAAACCATTGCAGCTCCTGGGATGTCTGTACCACCACCTCATGCCCTTTTCCGTCAACTGCATTAATGCCGGCCTTTGCTTTGAAGTGCAGCTGCCAAGAAAATGCCTGAGAGCCACAGAGATCTCCCCGCCCCGCAGGGCTTCCATCGCCTCATTCAATCATCCCTCCCATGCCATTTTGCTGACTTCTGGGCCCCTCGCCTTCCCTGCAAGTTCTCCCCGTCTGATCCGCTCTGAGCCGGCTTGTTCTGAATTCAATAATCCTTTGGGAGATGCAGGCTCATGTTGCTGTGACAGCTCAGCTCACCTCATTCCCTCCGTCTTTTCCACCACGGCCCCCATAATGCTCCCAGGAAGAATCCTACGGGAAAATCAGAAGGGACAGAAACTAGAGCCCTTCAAGGGATTGCATTCCTTGCATGGGGAATGAGAGAGAGCGGAGCGTTTCTTCGTTTCCTTTCCTTTGGATGGGAGGTGGAATGGAGCGTTTCCAAACACCAGCATGTTTTAGTTGTAAAAGCAAAAAGTCCACATGATCCAACCAAGTTTAAAGAGAATGTCTGCAAGTCATCTGGGTGCAACCCACCAGAAGTGGAACTGCTTCAAACAAATTAAGAAGCAGCCTCTGGGAAAAGTGCTGGGGGTGGGAGGAAAGTAAGCAGCCTCATGCCAAGCTCTCTACTCCCCGTTGCTGTAATGTCTATTTATTATATTAATCACTGAAAAAATGTCTACACCATTCTGTATGCACCCCACAAGGCAGCTTGCAAAATGCAAACAGGATGCAATAAATACATCATATAAATTTAAAAGTAAAAAAAGAAAAAAACTATGTGAGAACAGAAACCTAAACCAATCCATGGCTAAATCTTATTAAAGGTTAAAGCCAAAAAAAAAGCCTTCACCTGGCAATTGTAGGCAGTAAGTGCCAGAAAGTTCAATGGGATTTATTCAGAGGCAAAATGTGTATACGACTGCAGCTATAAGCTTCCATAATGAGAAATATTCATGGACAGATAGGTTTAGAGCGTATCTTATTTCTGGTGTGCAATGAGTCCTGGAAATGTGATTTGGAGTCTCCTCCTCCTCACCCCGAATTTATGCTTAGAATTATAAAATGCAGTGTGCGACCCTAACACCGCTTTCACCCACTAGTGTTGAACTACAAGTCTCATCATCCCCAGCCAGCACGGCCTTCCGAGGGGAGCAGCTTGGGGAAGCCTGTCTTGTAACAACAGCACCGTCCAGTTCCAGCACGGCCTGCAGGCAAGATGCTTCCACAGATTCACCTTCCGCCAAGGTCCTCAACGGTATCATTTTTACAGTGCCATCTTTCTGACACGTGTCCACACAGAAAAAGTCCCACTGAGTCCAATGGGGCAAAGAAAGGCTGTGGAAATTTTGTTGCTACCGCCTGGGGCCCACATTCCCCTGGGGAGAAACTGCCAGGGGCCTGTGGTGACTGGAGCCAAATCAACAGCGGGCAAGGCTACCCCGGTTTGCTCTCTTTTCCTGCCCCCTCCTTCTCTCTCTCCCTTCTTCTGGCAACCCCCTTTTTGACACCACTGTCTCTTCCTCTTGCTCTCCTCCCTGCCCATTACAGTCCTGGGGCAGCTTTCAGACATAAGCCTTCGGCTTCTGACACAATGCCCGAGGGTGTACAGAATCACAACTGAGTGCGCAGGTTCTTGGGAGTAAGACCCAGTCAGCCCAGTGGAGCTTCCTTCCAAGGGAACAAGCGTCAGATGGTGCTGCATCATGCCTGCAGAGCTCTTGCTTGCAGACTTCTCATGCACACGACCTGAGCTAATATGCCACAAGCAAAGACAAAGAGGGGAGGAGAGGAGAGGAGCCTGAGGCCTCCAGTCAGCTACCCAACCAGCCTGCAGTTCCCCACCTGCTGTCTGGAGGAGGGCAATTCAGTACCTCCTGGTCATTCACTTTGGCTGTAAGATTTAAGTGGAGAGCACCCAAACAGTTTCTGTCCAGGAAAGAAGTCAGAGAAGCTCATACTTACCCTCTGGGAAGCAGTCTTCCGGCTCCATCATTTCTTCTGCTAGTTCAGGCATCTGTTCCAGAAGATCTGGAGGGATTGCCAGATCCACAGTGCTTCCCTCTGACAGGCTGATTTCATCAAACGTTTTCTAGGAAAGAGATGAGAGAAAAGATGAGAAGAGGAAGAGAATTGCTTGGCCTTCTCTTGCAGAGGTTGCCATGCTAGAAAGAGGAGGGGAAGGAGAAGGTATCTGGCAAGAAATGATCCATTCAACTGGGCGAAGCCCCAAAAGGAGGAAAGGAGGAAATGTTCATGCATTTCATTTGATGTCCAGAGTTCACTGCCAAAGGATGCAGCATGCAACATTTTTTTAAAAAAGCAAGGCAGTTGCATTTTATAATAAAGCCAACATTTTCTATAGTGATGGACACAATGCCCAGCCTATGCTCAACAGACATCTGTTGGTTTTCAGTGTTTCTGAATATCCCCTCAACTTCCATCAGCACAAGCAGGTCCCCAACTTGGGTCTGGGGGCATCTGGCCACTGCCAGTGCAAGCCCATCCCCCCGCCTGCTGTGTCTTGCTTACCTGCAGAGAGAGGCTCAGATTGCCAGGATACAGTGCCTCTGTCAAACTTGCCTCCATAAACAGCATCCAGGAGCTTTGGAAAACATGGGGAATTTTATTTATTCATTCCATTTTCCCCATTCGTCTGCTTTTCTCCATTTGCTGTTACCTGCACAGCACACCTGTGAGACCAGTGAACTTCATTGATCAGGTGAGACATCATCTCTTGCCTCCCTGATGCTGGAGTAGCACACTAGCCAATTCACCACCCAGAATCTTCATGTAGTCCCTGTGGCTCCTGGTGGCCCTGGGTACTGCTGTGGGTGCTAGGAATCATGACCCCTGGCTCCCTGCAGGTCTGGATGCTGGCAGGCATGTTTGCAGAAGCATCTAGTACCCTAGGGGTAATAGTGAGAAACTCAGCAATCTCCGCTCGGCTGCTGGAAATGCACAGCACCTGAAGCTGAGCTTTCCCCGAGGCATAAAGCTCGTATCTGGACTTCAAGGCTTGCAGTTGCTGGTAAAAAGAGAGGAGTGGGCATCACAGGACAAGGACACTTCCTCCTAACACAAAATCTGCATGCAGGAGTGTGCGTGTGTTCATATGCATCTTAGGGATGCTGAAGGAAATTGGTTGCTCTGCATTCATAAGCAAACTGATCAGATTTCTCGGACCAAGCCATGGATCAGAAGGCAGTCCACCTTCATTGATTGTGCTTGTCTGCTTTGCTCAGTTCTGAGCATGCAGCGAACATAGCAAGCATGTAGCTGAAAAGGTGTCTCCTGGGACAAAATGTACACAAAAGCATGTATTTTGTGCAAAAGGGAGTGTTGAAATGTAACGCAAATTTCTGTGGGCTTGTGTTTAAACACTGCAGATTCATACGGAAAAGCAATAGAAGAACCGTGTGTGTGTGAAACGGATGCAGACGTCAGAATGCAGCTATGATGCCTCCGGAAAAATCAGGCCAGAGTCTCAGGTCTGTTCTGTAAGACTCTCAGGTCACCCAGGGTGAAGGTGGGACCACCCAAAGCAAAGTCCCCAGAACCTGAGAGGGGATGACCAAAATGTGGCTTTGGAACAGATGCAGAAGAAAAAGGATTTCTTGATGGAGAAGATAGTCCAGATAAAAAAGATGTGATGGAAATGTGGAAGATTACTTTGGGACTGAATCATAGTGTAGCCGCAGCATTTAAGCGCACAAAGGACATTTCACTTAGGAACGGGGGCATAATGTATCCAGATTGCATTTTAATGGTAATCCAAGCAACGCCACACTTTTCAGTCACTATGGTAATGCAACATCAGTTATCATTCAAAATTCACATTTCTTCAAATTTGGATCAGAGTTGTCTATCAGAAAATCTATACAAATGCACATAAAATGAATTATATTAGGAAAAAGTCTTGGAAATAAGTATATTAGACAAAAATACATGTATATGGAGATAGGTGCACAAAATGCCTATGAATTTTCATGCAACCTTTAAAAAATCTCAATGTCTGGAACAAACTTGTTGGTTTTGTGTTTGGTATCTCAGAGAAAGAAATAGAGAGAAAGAAATAGAGAGAAAGACTAGTTCCAAGTATAAGCTGCCTCAAGATGGATGCTTTGGTGGTATGTCTGAAAGCAGCTTGCTAGTCTCAACCTTTGCCTTGTCTCTCCCTGGGTGTTTTGCTCTGAGAATTCACATGAATCCACCAGGCAGGTTAACGGAGAGAAAGTACTACCTGCTAAGGGGAAGAAATAGCATCCCTTTAGAGATTTACCTGAGGAAAGATTCTAAAAGCACTTCCCAATGGAAGTGGAGACATTGATGTAGCTGATTATTTGGCCACTACAAACTTCCTGCAAACCGGCAGAGTGGGAATAATGGAGTTATTTGCAGGGCACAGAGGTCAACGTTATGATGAGAGGACACGATGGAGCTGATTCGGAAGGCTAATCTGAAACATCATTTATGTGTACTTGCCAAACCAGACAAGAGGTACCTTATGCTTTCCTAAAAGGAGTGATAACACCTCTGGGTGTGGGAAATTAAGTCAGGGCAAAGGGTTACCCCCTTTTGCAAGCCCAATTCAAAAACCTCCCAGGCAGGAGCTGCTTTTAAAAAAGCCAACAAAATGCAAATGAAAGATGTGTTCACAGATCTCCAATATCTCATCAAGTTTGGTCCTTAGAAACATCTTCTCAAGAAGATTCCAGGTGTTTATGAATGAGGATTATTTGCCAGTCTTCTCCTCCTCACTGTCAAATTGGGCAGCTGTGCTACTGATACTATCATGAAGCTCAGAAAGAGGGGAAGGAAACAGACTGGGTTTGAACAATCAGTGACTATGTTACCTAGGTGACAACCACAGATTCTCCTGCCTCCTATGAACAACAGTAAGGGAAAAAGGCACTCTCAAAACAGTTAAGGGGAATTCTGCAAGAAACAGCTGGTGCTGGAGGTCTGTTTCTTCCCTCTGGCTTCTCCCCATTATCATGTTGGAAAATCCCAAGTTTTGTACAGAATGCTGGGCTATGATGTAGATTTCAAGATCTCTAGTGGTGCAGGAGAGGGACTGTCAGGAGAGCACAAGAGATTTCTTCTTCAGTGCAGCTTCTAATGTTACTGATGCAAATACCTTTGCACTTCATCTGCCTCCCAAGGAACAGACAGAATGCGCTCCCCAGGGAGGTCCGGTTGTTTTTCGGTGCCAGGCCAAGATTTAAACGATACTTTAACTGTTAATCGTTATCTTTATTTATTGGTTTTTATAATCTGCCGAGATGTATCCAGATTTTAAGGTTTATTTTACATATGTTTGTTGCTTTGTAAGCCGCCTCGAGGCTTTTTGTGAAGGGGGCGGCATAAAAATGATATAAATGAATGAATGAATGAATGAATGAATGAATGAATGTGTGATGGAGATGCTCGTTATGGCAGAAGCAATTGTGAAGCATTAAACGAGCGGCGCAGGGGAGACCGGTCCCCGCTGGGAGTCACAGGGACTAACGGCCCAGTCCTGTGCTTCAAAAAACTGCTTCAAAGAGATGGGCTTATCTAGATAAGATTCAGGAGACCCATGATTCAGATCGTTTGCTGTTTTGGCTTTAGGACTTAGGGCCTGGTCACTCTGATAAACTCCTCCGCAAAACATACACACCCTCCCCAGCAGTTCACCACTATGGATTAGCAAATGGGTCAAACTTAGCTCATGCCCGAGCTACAAGGTGGTGGAAAAGACACGTTTATCTAGAGACCAAGTCACATTTGACCCGCATTCTATTCCATATCTATTTATTTTATTTATTTAGGAGACTTCTATGCCGCCCCATTCGCCGAAGCCTCGGGGCAGCTCACATCCACAGCCATTTGATGCTGCAATGCAGTCGCAGTTCCCAAACGGTTGGCCTGTTTGCAAGCACGTTCAGCTTCACAAGAGCAAAAGAACCGCATCCTGCATGGGACACGTCCGTGTAGGAGAACCTGGCCTTGGTACGCCGCTGCCACGCACACTCGCCCGTGGCTGAGCTCCGCTCAAAGCGATGAGACTTTGCTCTGAGCAGCCAGATACAGGATCGTGCTCTTAAGAGCCCTGCAGGGCTGCTCTGAAGATTTGGTAGCTTCGTCTCTTGGAATAAATCGCCTCCAATCTCCTACTCCTTTAATTGTGGTGGGGAGGACAGAATGTCCCACCCCTCCCACAGCCTGATGGGCATTCTTTCTGGGGAAAAGAAACAACCTCTCTCCAAATGCCACATCCCTGATCTTCAAGGCTGCCCCAAAAGGGTTCTAACTGCTGTGCTTCCTCACCTGACACTGAAGTTCCCAGTACTGATTTTGGGAAAGAGAAACAGAGAGTGCCAACAGAAAAACGGATCAGATTAAGTTTGTGGGTAAACAGAGAATTACACGGGCTGGCAGTTAGCTTTATCCTGGCCTGATCACAAGACAGTGACACAAGGATTACAATATTTGCGGAGCTCAGCACTGCCGTCAGGGGGGAAGAGGCAGAAACCCCAAATGAAGCAATCCCATGAAAGACAATGCACTCTAAGGGATGAGAGCTATTTAAGGGCCACCTGGGTAAGAAATGTGTGTGAGGAGGGGGCAGGAGAAGGCAATAACGTTTGGTATCACAAAAAAACAGAGTGACGTTCACAGGGGGTGACTCCACAAGCCTCGTAGCCATGGAGCAAAGGTGTCGCACCCCCATGAAATGGCCAGCTCTCCCTGAAAATGAAGCATCTAGTTCATACTTCCACTGAATTTTGTCTAATAAACGAAGGGCATCATCTTATGCATGTTCAGACGGAACAAATTCCCACCCCTGCCAGCATAACACTGTTTTCTGTCTAAGCATACATACGATTTAAGTGGGATCTGTTTAAACTTTAAATTGATTAGACCAATTTGGTACACCGCTTCTCTTCCCCAGCATATTGCTAGGAGTTCCTTCCTTGCCACCATGTTCCTTGTTCTAAGCCCTGAGTCACCCTGCAAAACTTGCAGGATTCCAGAACACTAAATACAGGAGGGTGAGGAAAGGGAAACAGATGCATGAGAAGAGAGCAAAAGTCTATGAGAGGGAGGGAATCATGGCAGAAAAATGGGAAAGAAAAACGGGTCTGCTGGCAAGGACTTGATTTCGACTAGCTGGGCAAATCTTCTTGAGATAGGTCACCACCAGGCAAGGCAGCTTTGTCCTGGCCTGTGTCATGAGGCCTCAGAGAGCTTGGTCATGAAACAGTGGTATGCTCTGTCCCACACTGGACAGGGTCTTCAAAAATAGCATCCTTGGCACAATGCTCTTTCATGTTGGCATTCATGGCCTCATATGAACTTCTGCCTCCTTTTCGGGATTCCATGGAAAGATGCCACGCTCTTTGATCGCCTCTGAAATGGTCACAAATAGAACCCAAGTGTGTTTTGCTCCATGAAGGCGGCATCTGTCTTCGGGGATGGATGTGCTCAATGCCGGCGAAAGAAAAAGGACGCGTTGCCGTTGCTGCATCCCGTCCCTGCAACATGAGAGGTTTGTCTAGAGAGTCTGCTTAAAATGACATGGGTGTCATGAGCACTGGAAACCCAGGGGTGGAATGGCCCCTGTTGGTGCCCTTTTAAAAGCTGGAATAATTTTCCCCATAATGGGAATGGAGTTACAGCCTCAGATGAACAGAGAACACCTTTGGGGCTGCACGCCCAACAGGAGCCCCCTTGTTCACCTCTGTGTCGCTCGTCATTGGGGGCATGCCCCAGAGTGGGTCCGGATTGGCGGAAGTCGCTGTCAATCTCATACTGGAGGTGTTGCCAGGCTGTTGCCCGGAAGAATGGAAATGGCCACGGACACAGCCAAGGGTGAAAGGGGCACAAGTGGAAAAACAGGCTCACTGCCCCGCTAAAAGGCAAAGAACCATGTTTAGTCTGATACTGAAATGTGGTATGAACACTTTTCCAGCGCTCCATCCTGTAAATCAAGACAATGGATGAGCTCTTGATCATTATCCCCTCAGTATTTTTATTCTCGTAGTACTTCTCATAGCTACAGTCACTAGTCCTCATTGTTCCTTGATGACCCAGCACAAGCTTACTTGAAAGTAAAATGGCATGCCCGTGCCGCATGCAGCCAGCCCCACCTCCTTTTCTACTCCATGCACTACTGAGCTTTGGCAACTGATGGCATGCAGAAAGCAGGCAGCAAATGCCACGAACGTTACCTCTGGTTGCCCTACTGAGGGGAGCGGAGGCTCGGATTTCGACTGCTTGTCCGTGTTCAACTCACTTGACTCTTCGCAGATCTCAGAGGCCTGACTCCGAACAGCTGGGCTTTTGTAGCACTGACCCTTCGGTTGCTGCTGTTTGTCCTGGCGGAAATAATCCTAGATGTGTTTATTCCCCCCTTTTCCGTTGCAGCACGCCCAGTTTGCAAATGGATCAAACCCGCGTGCAAACGGTTCAGTGAGAAAAGAAAAGCATGCTCAGAAAGCCCCGAGCACCATTGGACAAGAAGAAGGAAAGAAAGAAGCTTGCAAATACTCGTTTCCATGTTGCCGTTGGTACAATAATTTCTAGAGCATTTTGTCAGGGTTGTGACATGAGGCACAAGAAAACAGCTCTTTGGGAAGGCGTCTTCCTTTGGCAAAGACAACATTTGGACCGAACTGCTCTCTCATTCCTTGCCTTGCTCCATCCTCCCCCCGAGGACCAATTGCTGCCCGTTCCGGTTCTGGCACAGAACTTCCCCCTCCTGGCAGCACACTTTGGGCAAAAAGCTTCATTTCCGTATTGCTGGCAGGGCCTGGCCTTGCCTAGCCCTGCCAGCCCGGCTTCACGCCATTCCCCTGGCTGCTCATCTCACCCAGATCTTCTGCCTGCCTCCTCCCCGTGCCTGCTTGACCAGGTTCAAGACGGCACCCCCTGCACAGAGGGGTCTGGGATCCAGCATCTCTGGTGAGCAGGCAAGAACAGCGGATTGGGCTGGTGGGGCCACCCCACCCCGCTAGAAGTGGCAGCGCAAAGTCCTGCCGCCCTTGCCCCACACAACGTGAGGGGGCGGAACCGCAGATTGCAGATTGGTCAGCCCTCCTGGGGGCCCCTCTGGGCCACGCTCCCTCTTGCCCAGCCACCAGCGGGGGGCAGTTTCCCGCTTGTACACATTCTCCAAAAGGCTGAAGCATTCTCCCGAGGCTTTGTTACCGGAAGGGAGAGCATTAAGCTAAAACATGCCGCCTTTGCAGCATCGTCCTCTTCTCTCACCCTTTTCCCTCTTGCAAGCAGCCCAAGGTGGCTTGCACAGTTCCGCTCTTTTCTATTTTATCTTTGCAACAAACCTGTGAAGAAGACTGGGCTTGGAGTCCGTGGCCGACCCAACGTCACCCCATGAGCTTCATGGCCAAGGGGGGGACTAGAACTGGGGTCTTTTGAGCCACTAGAGCAAGAGAACAGCCTTCGTGGATCAGGCCAAGGGTCCATCCAGCCCAGCGCTTCCTCCACACCAGGGAAAACCAGCTGCCTCCAGGATCCCCCAAGCGGGATGGGTGCAAGCTTTTGCCACTTCTGCTAAAGGAGGTAGCCCACCCCAAGCCAGGCTAGTAGCCACGGAGGGCCTTCTCTTCCACACCACGCTCGCACACGCAAAGCAGAGGGCCACCCAAATGGGCCAAACCAGCTTCTGAGCCTCCTTCAGACAGAGAGCCAAGTTCCATTCTGAGGAAGCCACATCCCTGGGTGGGGCGTGCAAAAGAGGAGCGCTGCAACATTAGCCTAAAGCACTCACTGCTGTAACCAGGCCTTGGGAGACGAAGCTCAACCTTTTTTAAATGGTCAGGGAAAAAATGACGGAAGCCTGGGAACCATGAAAGGGTTGGGGGAAAGAGAGTCAGGGCAGGGGAAGGGGATATGGCCATTTGGGATCTACTCAGGATTTGGCCCCCAAACCTTAGGCTCTGTGCCGCTGCTCTATAGATTACTAATTAACTTTCAAAACCTGTTTAGGGCTTCCCGTTGCACAGGGTTTGTTGGCAACCAAAGCAGTTTTCCCACGGAATTTCTGTCCTAGAAAGGTCTCGGAAATCCCGGCCACTAGAGCATTCCTAAAGCTTGACTGGTTTTCAGAGATTTGCCATGGAGGGTCTTCAGACGAGCCTTCCCTGCTGTTCGAAACCAATTAGAAGCAGAACGGGCTTTTAAAACAATAATTATTTTGCATCTCTTTCCATTTGCTTCATTCTTATGCCTTAATGCACATGCTTGGAGAGTGTAATAGTATTGGTGTTTTTAAAATATGGACACCCCTCACACGACACAGTTATTATCCCACCTGCCTTGATTGTACAATTACCTCCCTGTATGAAACAACAAAAGGGAAACACAGGGAAAAATTGCTTCATTTCAGATGGAAATAAGACAAAAGATGCAGACAAAAGAAAGCTTTTTTTGGTAAAAATAACGGAGGAATGGGATGAAAATGTTCTCAGTTTGTCGAGTTCATGTTAACCACCCCCTTTCAAATGCTACTTTGATTTCACAGTAAATTAATTTAAAATTAAATTACCAATTTCCTGCTAGAGAGGGCATGGGGCTCAATGTATATTTTTATGTCTAATAATTTTTTTCCATGCCCATGACTGTACCCTGTGCTTAAGAAAGTGCTCGATGTAATTGCAGGGCATGATTTCAAATCAGTGCTCTGCAGGGCCAAAGATCACTTTATAATCAGGGCAGCTGGGATTTTGTCTCCATCAGAAAACAGCCAAGACGATGCAAGAAAGAATCGTAATTCAGTGCCGGAAACCAGCCACATCAATTTTGCTTTCCTTCCTTCTTTTAAATTGGCATTCCCTCTCCGTGAAGAATTGCAATCCTAATACACATAATGTTATTCATTCAGTTCCTTCATGTTAATTAGGGGTTTTGCATGAGATACAATAAAGATGCAATGGAGGCACTTCGGGTGTTTTACACAGTATAATGAAATGTAATATGACCCAGACTCTAGTTGGAAAGGGAAGCAGGTGTGAGCAGAGTTGCGGTGTCCTGGATGTTGTGGGTCTGGGGTCTCACCATTCAGACAACAGCTTTATCAGAGAGAAAAAAAATAAAATGCAGGCAGACACTGGAATTTCCCAACCCCTCCATCAGGTCAGATGTCTTCTGTACCACCTACCAGTGGGGGAGTGCCCACCGTCTCCCTAGGTCATTGGTACCCCTGCTCTCCTGGCTCTCTTTGCTTTTTGTTTGATGTGGGACTTTGGACTTTCCTGGGACCTGCAGGGGAAGAAGTAGCTGCCCCTCTGATCAGACCAACCTGAAGCAAGGGGCCAACTTCCCCCGCACTGGGATGCCACCTGAATGCCGTCTGGAAGTGAGGAAACACAAAAGAGACAAACCGAAGAGGCCCACCGAGTTGCACAAAATGTTCTTGTGCTGATTTATATGTCTAAAGACACATCTGAGTGTGTCAGTGTGTGTGGGAAGTCTTCAGTCATTTAAAGAGAAATCCAATGCATTTCACTGTATTGGGAAGGTTTTGACCGGGTGACCTGCAAGCACGAGCAGTGAATTCACCAGGGGCAACGCCTGGGTTCCTGCCCTGATGCTTCTTTGACGCTGGACCACCTCACAGACAGGGTGCCCTCAAACAGAGCAGGCTTCCCCCTCTGGGTGCCCTTGGTGCGTTGGACAGGAGGACCCCGGGGACAACAGAAGGCAGTGTCCAATGCAGTTGGGGGGCCTCCGGTTGGAAAGGCAGAACCAGAGGCCTGTGCTCTGTCCTGGAGAACACATGGCCAGCTGCACACCACTCGCCCGGATCCACTCCTCTGCTTTCGCCCAAGAGAAACAGACCAATACTAGAAATAAGCAAAACTTAGACATACCAACTGCAATCCCATCTAGACTTTCCTATTGGAGACGTTCGAGTGGCAGCTGGACAGCCCTCTCAAGAAGGCTTCCACCTGGAGCCCTGCACCGGGCAGGGGGCTGGATGTGATGGCCTTACAGGCCCCTTCCAATGCTACCATTCTGTGACGCTATGACCGGACCGAGACTGCCTAGAGAGACTCATCCATGCTCCAATAATATCTCTGTTGAAGCACTGAAATCTGTTGAATGTGGGTTTGGAAACTCCGGTTACTGCAAAATAGAGCTGCAAGGTTACTAACTGGGACTGGCCAATGAGACGATGTGGTGCCAATGCCTCACCAGCTGCACTGGTTTCCAATCAATTTTCAAGTCCAGTTCAAAGTGGTACTGTTGAGCTTCAAAGCCCTAAATGCCTTAAGCTCGGAGAATCTTTTAAACCCTAAGTGGCTTGGAGCATCTTCTCCTGCATGCGCCCGATCAGAGCCTTATGGCAGCTTCACAGGCCATCCATCCAGCCGCTACCTGCGTGGCTACCACAGAGACGGCCTTCTCAGTCCCCACTGCTAGGACAAATTGCCAGAGCATTCCCTGACCTCTGTGCTGATATCTTTCTGGTGCCTGGCAAAGACCTTTCTCTTCTCTCAGGCACTTTTAGAGACCTAGGCTGTTATGTCTATTGTATTAATTAATGCAATGTTTATTATATTTAAAGTGGCTGCAACCCGCCCAAAGAACCTTAGTTATTGGGTGGATTAGAAATCCTAAGGCGATATTGTCCCCTTCTCCTGGCATGTATCCTTAACCGCAGTATCTACTGCTTTTTCTTGCAGTGAAGAAACACAGCCGAGAGGTGATACTCAAGAGAAGATCAATGCAGAGGTCTTGAAAATGCATGGAAAAGATGGCACAGATCTGCCCCCATCCACGAAACCAGTGAGGAGGAGAAAACAGAGCGATCCGGCAGGCACCCCTGTGCTCCAGCATCTCAGGCACCACCCAACCTGAAATGGGAAGCTGTGCGACTAACATTCTGTTGGCACATTGCCTGGCATACAGAAACAGCAGATGCAGCGAATTAACCGTGGCCGGCGGTAACGAATGGCAGGACTGCATGTCTGAATATGCCCAAAAGGGGGAGAAAGCCATGGGCTGTGAAGACGAATGAGGAAAGGGGAGTAGAACTTCCTGCCCCCCTTCCATGTTAAGTTCCCTTTTGGCCCCACCCTCTGCATCCACACACTGAGCACGGATGTCTTCAAAGGGGCACCTACGTGTATCCAGCGTATGCTCGTACGTTCTCTGCACACCTGGGTTCCCCAAGGTCTCACAGCACCCACAATCACAGAACAACACCTGTGCGGACGGGGAATAGACACCCTTTGCAGGTGCCCGGATGTGCGGGGCACCTTATTTTCCTCCAGGAAAAGGGCAGGGTTCGCGCCCTTCTTTTCCCAGCTTTCACCAACACACGTCTTTTTCAGGTTTAGCAACATCCCAAAGT